ATGCCATTGTTTATAAAAACATTGCAAAGAAAAAGCAAATGTTTGTTTTATAAGGGATCAAAACTTTTCAACACCACATAGAAATAATAATAAAGCAGAGAATCTTTTGAAGTAAGGAGCCATTCTCAAAAGCTAATCAAATATTTATTCAAAAAAACCCTTCCTCCCTTCCACCTTTTAAACTAGGCATTTCTACTTGCAAATAGCCCTCAAACCTTGAACAGAAGCTCTTCTACAGTATTGTTGACTCCGACCAAAGACACAAGCTGCTACTGTGTTGACAGCAGCCCAGCAAATGAACTAAATGAAAAGGGCTCTCGTCTTTCTTAATAAGCGTAGGTCTTCCATACACAGCTGAAACTCATTCTTACAATTTTCTCATAATTAACTTACTGCTTGTTTCTATGTGGAGTATCAGCATACCTAATTACATAGAGCCTATAGTGATTAGGTTGAACTTTAGAATATTGCATAAAGTAGGAGAATATAGAATATAGAATTACTTTTTGTTATCTTTTAAATTCAAGCTTAATCTCAATCGCTGGTCTATACATTACTATATAAAGAGCTTGGTTTGTACACTATACTAAACTAAACTAAACTAAACTAAACTAAACTAAACTAAACTAAACTAAACTAAACTAAAGCAAATTATATTTTTCAAAGGTACAAGTGACCTCCTTTCCATAATGCCAGTACCAATTTGTGTTCCTCTTTTCTTTAAAAAAATATTGTGGATTGGGCTCAGAAGGAAAACACAAAGGTTGTACAGGTCTTTTTTAACCAGATGGAGAAGAACATTCTAGCTCAGTGGTGGCGAACCTATGGCACGGGTGCCAGAGGCGGCACTCAGAGCCCTCTCTGTGGGCATGCGCGCCGTTGCCCCAGTCCTAGGCCTTCAGCTGGGTTTTATAAAACCTTTTCGCTTTAGGCCTCCGCCGCCGTGTACAAAAAAAAAAGGTTCAATCAATCAGTCAATTTCAACTTCTCGCGGGGAAAAAAAAATCTTGCAAAGTTGGAATTGATTGATTGAACTTTTTAGTCCCACCCAGTCTGCTGTTACCACCGCGGCCATGCCCACCCAATGGGCCACACCCACCCAATGGGCCACACCCACCCGGCACCCGACGATGCATAAGTGGTTTTGGGTTGCAGTTTGGGCACTCGGTCTCTAAAAGGTTTGCCATCACTGCTCTAATTGTTGTTATCTGAAACTTTGGGGATATTTTTATGAGAAGAAGAAAAAAATAAAATTAAAATTGGACTACAAATATGCTTGGGCACAACTTTTGAAAGAAATTTGTCCTTGCAATCCAGAATCCAATTATACACTATCTCAAAAACTTTTTCTTGTAATCTGGCCAGGAAGCAAAATTAACTCCATTAAGGGTACTCAAAGAAACACCTTTGTTCAGAGCTTTGATGAAATTCAAGGTGCTTTTTACACCAACACTGAAAGAATTTTGAAGCTTGCACGGTTTAATACTAAGAATGAAATGGAAGAATGAAAAAGGTTTTAAAGCTATAGCTTTTTTCTTTTTGTGAATAAATTTGCCACTGAAATTTGCATTTTTTCCCCTTGAATATTGTTCAAGGTGGAGTAATAAGCATTTGCAATCATTGGGCAATCAAAGCAAGGCTGTAATTTGAAACCAAAGATTTGGTATCCAAATACTGTACTACTATGCCATCACAATCACAATAATCTATCTTCATTTTAATTAAGAATATGTAAGTAATAGAACAGTGATGGCGAACCTTTTAGAGACTGAGTGCCCAAACTGCAACCCAAAACCCATTTATACATCGTTGAGTGCCGGGTGGGTGTGGCCCATTGGGTGGGTATTGCCAATTGGGTGGGCATGGCTGCAGTGATAATGGCAGACTGGGTGGGACTAAAAAGTTCAATCAATCAATTCCAACTTTGCAAGATTTTTTTTTCCTGCGAGAAGTTGAAATTGACTGATTGAACCTTCTTTTTTTTTTGCACATGGCGGCGGAGGCCTAAAGCGAAAAGGTTTTATAAAATCCAGCTGAAGGCCTAGGACTGGGGCGACGGCGCGTGTGCCCACAGAGAAGGCTCTGAGTGCCACCTCTGGCACCCGTGCCATAGGTTCGCCACCACTGAATTAGAGCATTCAATACTGTATAGAGTTGGAAGGGATCTTGGTGGTCTTCTAGTCCAGCCCCCCAACCCTATATCATTCTAGATAGTTGTCCAATCACGATTGCAAAGGGACTTCATTGCCCTCCTGAATATACAAATCATCAAGTATTTCAGGCAAATCAAAAATAGGATCTTGGTTGGGGTCTGGAATGTTATTGACTCCCCAATGAGATTGAAGAACTGAATGCTGTTGGGACAAGTCCTGCCATTCCTGTCATGTTGCTCAATACAGGGAAAGAAAATGAGAATGAGGTTTCAATAGAACGATTCTACCCACAGAACACCCAACTCCGTAAGGAGAAGGGCGGGATAAAAATTAAATAAATAAATAAATAAATAAATAATAATAAATAACTCATCCTAGAGAAGTGGCTGGAGAGGGCTAGAGCCAACTTTGGAGGTGGTGACACCTGTTCTCAGATGATGAGTTCAATGTGGGATGTGCCCAACATTGAATTTGTTTGCAGAAAGAATCGGCCATTCCAAGAGAGGTCTCAGCAGATTCCTTTAAGTGACTTGGACAAAGAGCATCTAGCAAAGTTAAAGAGGACAGCATCCTCCAAGAATCTCAGAGCTGTATGCCTCTCCCATAGCGGTAGTCTGGAAGAAGAATGGGTCCCTGAGAATTCTGAATCAGTACACTATCCTCTGGATTGAAGACACTCTATATTGCTTATCGGGGGTGTAGTGGTTCAGTGTGCTGGAGCTGAGAAATGGCTACTACCAGATTCCCTGAATCCAGATAATCAAGAGAAAACTGCTTTCATTTGCCCCTTGGGCTTCTATGAATTCAATTGGATGCCTCAAGGTCTATCAGGGGCCACAGAGACCTTTCAGTGACTTATGGAGTAGATAGTAGGGGATAGGAATCTGCTAGAGATGTTATTGTATCTAGACAATATCACTGTCTTTGGTGAGACTCTTCAACAATATAAGGAGAGTGCCTAGAGAAGGTCCTGACTGGCTTCATGAAGAAGGGTTGAAACTATCCCTAGAGAAATGCCAATTTTACCAACCATCCATCACCATGTACCTCAGGCACATTGTCTCTGTAGAAGGGATATCAACTGATCCCACAAAGCTTGAGGCCATCATCTCCTGGCCCAGACCCCAAAACGTGGCTATGCTGCAATTGTTCCTGGGTTTTGCTCATACTGTTGGACATTTGTCATGGGGTTTACTAGAATAGCCCGTCCCCTCAATGATCTGTTGAAAAGTGAAGAAGCTGATGAAGTGTCTGATAGTTTAGACCAGTTCTGCCAGCATAAGGGATCCAGGAAGTCCCTGGAGTCAATTTGAGCAGATAGAGCAGTGTGAACTGGCCTTCGACCAACTGAAGCCTGATCTATGACCCTCTTTTGGCTTATGCAGACCCAAACTGGCTCTATGAGTTACACGTCAATGTTAGCCTTGATGGTCTTGAAGGGGTATTATATCAAAATCATGATGGATATTTGAGGCTAGTTGCCTATATCAGCAGGGGCCTCTCCCCAGCCAACTAGAATTCCTGGCATTGAAGTGAGCAGTGGTTGATAAGTAGAAAGACTATTTGTACAGATATGAATTCAGGAATTGCAGCCAGGCAATCGAGTGTTGCTGAAGAATCTGGGCATGCATAAACTAGCTGATTGGTAGAGTTCCCCAGCCCTACATTGTCTGTGAGAAACTGGCTGGGCTGCCGGTGTACCGGATATGCCCAAATGAGAGAATGGGGCCACTGCAGATGTGGCATCGAAATCATCTCTTACCTCTCAATGAGGCAGTACGAGTTCCCCAGCAGCCTATACTACCACCTGTGGAACTCCATCTGACAAGGAGGGGTCCAGTGACCCGTACACAGTCCCCCTCCAACCGTGCCAGATGAGGAGGGGGACAGCAATGAGGAAGAGGATTATATGAACTAGTTGTGACTATCTGACACAAATACTGGATTGGGATGCTTAGATCAGAAGTCCCCAAGTTTGTGCTTCATGCTTGGGAATGGGAAAATGTCCTTGGGAAGCCCGCAGGAGAGGACTGTGAGCATCCATGCAGCATCTAGAACAGAATAAGCCACCAGCCCCAGAAACCCCTGAGCCTACTGTACCTCTGGAAGAAGACCCATTAACCTTGGCTAAGCCTAGAAAACTGAGACCAAAAATACATACCCTACACAGATTGATATATGACACTTCGGGCCATAACATGGAGGAGGTGATATTTCAATGAGACAATGGGGAAGGAGATGCCTGACATATCCTTTGACACATCCACAGACCCCATTGTAGAAAATGCTGTAGAACAAGTATTATTTCACTGACAAAAGATGTCCACTGTACATATAGATCATTGGTGAACTCTTTGGTGGACCAAAGAATTTTGGGCAGAGGATCTGTGTAGTTTTCCAAAATATGCAAAATACAATCAGCCATAACCAAGCCACCTAATAATATAAATCAAAATTTCATTCTGGTATAGAACTGAAGGGGTTCCAGCCACCTGTTTGACAGCACCTCTAATTGGCAGTGCAAAAGATACATCTTGAGCTTCTGGTGTAGGGAGACATCTCATGAAATGAATAAGGCTTCTAACATCATTTGAAAGTATAGGTTGCGTACAACCCTAAACTTCGGCTAAGTCTCACGTTTGATGTAAATGTTTTGGGAAGGGATGAACTAGCAGCAACAACCCAAGTATTCTTAACTAAAGTTGATAAAACAAAGGAGATCATTGTAGATTTCAGAAAGAGCTGGCATAGTCATACTCCACTCAGTATCAAAGATGCAGCTGTAGAGGTGGTCAACAGTATTAAATATCTGGGGGTGCAAATAACTAACAATCTGAATTGGTCTCTCCACACATCATCCTTAGAGAAGCGTGCAAACCTACATCTGCATTTCCTGCATCAGATGAGGAGAGCACATCTCTCTCCTTCTATCCCGGCCACTTTTTACAGAGGCACGATTGAGAGCATTTTAACAAACTGCATCACTGTCTGGCTTGGTGGCAGTAGTGCCTCAGATAGAAAGTCCATACAGAGAATGGTAAGGACAGCCGAGATCATAGGAAGCTCGCTCCCTGGTATTCAGGATGCTGCTTATAAGCACCATGTGCTTAGAGCTCAAAGCATTGTTAGAGACCCCACACACCACTTTATGGTCCGTTTCTGTTGCTCTCTTTTGGGAAAAGGTTTCAAAGTATTTCTAGCAGGACTACCAGATTCCGTAATATCTTTGTTCCCTATGCGAGCCATCTGTTAAATTCCCAAGATTAGTTTTTCTTGCCATGCCTATATATATATGACTATATGACACAAAGAAACAACAGTCTTGTTTGGGTTAGATATATATATAACCCAAACAAGTCTTGTTGTTTCTCTGTGTCATATAGTATATGTGAGTATACGCATAATTCTGTATTTATTTATTTATTTTTGTCATATTTATGTACAGTGCTTTTTTTGTAAAAAAAAAAAAAAAGGTGCCGGAACTCACGCACAACTCCAGTCCAAAGCCCTTTATGGAGCAGTGGGTGGAAAAGCCGCTTTAGGAAGCAATTTTGCGGCCCTCCCAGCGGACAGATCCGGGCTCCAGAGGCCTGGAAAAGGCCCCCAGAGCCTAGATCGGGCCACAGGGGAGCTGTAAAATTGCTCCGCGGCCATGGATCTGGGCTCCAGAGGCTTGGAAAAGGCCTCCGGAGCCCGGATCAGGCTGCTGGAGGGTCCGCAAAATCGCTCTGCAAGCATTCCTGGACTCGCACTGGCAGCTTAGAAGGAACCGGCAGCTTAGAAGGAACCGGTGCTGGAACGCTGTTCCATACGTTCTGTGACAAAAAAGCCCTGTTTATGTAGTGTATATCGGAGGTGGTAACCCTTTGAAAGCTGAATCCAACGAAATTTCATTTTAATGTATGCCAATTAGTGTACATTCAAAGTGACAATAAAGTTATTATTCTATTCTATTCTGTTCTATTCTAGAGAGAGCGCCCAAAATTACAAGCAGTCACACACATGCGCACTATTGGAAGGAGTCGCTTTCCCAGTGTAGGGGAAAAGAAAGACAGAATGCGCAAGCGCGGCGGGGAGGCGGAGCTACCCCTGAACAAGGAGGTGATTTATTCGTCTTCGTCGCCCGCCCACGTCCGATTCCCTTGTTCGGAGTCTGCGCTAGCCTGGGATCGAAGAGCTCTGAAGGGTGCTTCTTGCGCGTTCGTTAGTACTCAGCGGACGTCAGGGCGGGGGAAGAATGAGGTGAGGGTGCACGCAGTCGCCGTGCGTCCCTTTCCCAACGGTCCCGCCGCCTCCTTCTCCATGGCCGGGAGGAAGCTGTGGGGTTGAAACAGCGACAAGGCAGGCCGGAAGCTGGGGGGAGGGAGCGGGGACTCGCTTTCTCTTCCCCCCTCCTTTTCCCCCTCCTCCGTCATCTCACCTTTCCCTTCTGCAGGCCTTGCTCGGTGAGAGTTGTGGAGAAGATGGTGTGGGGCCTCTTTATTCTCTTTCTTTGATTTCCATTCCCGGTTCTCAGAGGCGGCTGTGACCTGAGGAAAGGAGGAAATGGGTGCTGGGACCAGCACCGGCTTTTACTGAGTGGAGCGCTGGGGAGACAGGGAGGTTTAAGTAAGTTGGGAGAATCGCCTTTTCTGCTGTGTGTTTGGAGACCGGCGGTTGCCGGGGCGGCGGAAGCGGCTGAATGGGCAAGGCAGGGAAGTGAGAGAGTGCGCTTAGGGGACCGGCTGAATATATGCGGCCCTCCGGCTTGTTTTATCATGATGCAGGACAACCTGGGTGTTAACATACGTGAGATCCTGTTGTGGGCAGCAGCACCGCTGTTTCCTGGCTTCTTCCTATGTCATACTGCGGCTAAACCCTGACACAAGGTGCTTTGCTCCAGAGAGGGTGACAGAAGTGATTTTTGAGATGTGTGGTATGGGGTGGGAAAGGAGAGAAGCTAAATAACTTGGTTTGCCTGGCCATAGAATGGCATTCTGGTGTGGGATAGGTTAGGGTACCTTATTGCTTTGAAAGTGGTGTCTTGTTCTGCTCCGCAAAATACTAAGTTGGCTGTACTCACCTGAAACCCTTGCCCAGCTGCAATTAGAATAATTCCTAGCCCCCCTTAAAAGAAAAGCAGGTAGGGTGGGTTTATTTGTCATTGTAGTCTCCTAGTGACTATGTAATAATTTTGCATGCCAAAGAGGATTGGAAAAAGCATTTCCCATTCTTGGGGAGGGGAAAGGCTTGTTAATAAAAAAACAAAACTATAATTAATAATAAAACCACTAAAGCTAGGCATAGCTACTTTTTAAATTTTTGGCCAGAAGTAATCAAACTGTAATGAGAACTTAGTATCCAATATGGTATCAGTCGATTAGATGTATGAGAATATTGGATAGATTATATAGTGTTATACTGGGAATAGTAAATAACTAAGTTCTAGAATGTGCAGTATTTTTCTAGAGTAAAGGTTGTGTAATGCTAAGTATTGGCATTACTATTGCCCTTGCTTGTTGTATTTTTATTAAAACAAGTGTATCAGTAGATAATAAAACTAAAAACAATGCTAACAAAGCCAAATAACTGAATAGAAACAAAATAGGAACAAATGTGTTTCAAAATACAGTTAAAGAGATTTAGGTTTTGATGATTACTTTCTAAGATCTCTCTCCCCTCCCCCCTAATGTCTGCAATTTATCATTTTTAAGTTTCATCAATTAGCTGGTGGTCTATTTCTAATTAAATTGTCATTTAGCAATAATGCAGGTACTGTTGCAACATTCATACTGAGTTTTAAATGATGTATGGGTTCATTTACAAAACGGTTGTTCAACAAAAGGGAAAGTTTTAACTGGAATAAAAAATGTAATAGTGTGATGGAAAAGGCAAGTTTGCAGTTTTGGGAACTGTTACTTTAATATCTTTAATGGTTTTATTTCTTTGAATTAGTGGCAATGTCTGAAAAAAATTATTCAACCATTTAGATAATTTTTGTTCTGTGAAGAAAGATGAGAGGCACAGCTAACAAACATAGATATTAGGACTGTGCAGCATTTAAGTTTTTAAAGAGCAACTGTTAGCAATGCCTTAAACCAAATGATTATTCTCTTCAGTGTGCTACAAAGGGCAGCTGTACAATCTCAGGAAAAGAAGTAGCTGGTTTAAGGGGGTTGCTCTGTAATTGTTTCAGTGTGTTCCAAAGGATCTTTTTCCTTTCAGAATTGCATAGCCTCAATTTTGTTGCTTCTCTGTCTCTTATAAAAGCAGCTCAGCATTTTTCAGTGTTCCATCCGTCCTGAAAAAAGTGCTACATTTCATAAAAACAGTTCTTTAAACATATTTTTTTTTCATAACTTGAACAAAGTAGGACTGTTTTATTCAGGAGTAGAGGGTCTGAATCACTTTTCTGAATCATTTGTGAAGCATGCACAGTCCTGGTACTCATAGTGCCTTTGCTGCCCAGTGTCAAAACAAGGCATAACCTGCCTTCTTGTGCCAAAGAAGATGATTGAAGATGCCTATTTGGGGGATGTATGACAAAAATGCATTTGGGTATGCATGTCTTAGCCAAAATAACCCCTGGCTCTAGATGGAAAAATAAGGACTGATCATTTGGGTAATAGAATTTTTCAAGGAGTAAATTATTGAGTGGAGTTATTTAAAGTGACTCCACATAATAGGGCTGATTATTTTCATAATGCCTCGCCTTCCCAGAACATCATAAGCACTAATCTCAATTACAGAGGCTGTTGCAAAGTTACAGTGTTATCAACAAATGATAATTGTAGCTGAAGGTTAACCTGAGAGGTCCTTGGTGGTCTCTGAGCTTGGTTGTTTTCTTGCAGACGTTTCATTACCTAAAGTAGGTAACACCATCAGTGCTAGTTTGGGTAATGAAACAACCAAGCTCAGAGACCACCAAGGACTCCTCATTACAGTGTTGTGCACGCTTTCCTGTGAGTATGCATTGAGAGAAATATTATATACAAGGAGAATGAGTAGCATTAAAAGGACTGTAAACTCTGGCTTGACTGTCAAGCCTAAATTGGGCTTAAATAAATTGGGATTAGCTGAAGTATTAAAAAAATAATTAAGGCCATTTAAAGAATCTATGCTATCTTGAGAAAGTCCAGATGCTTATCAGAGAATGTGGATGGATAAAACAAGTTGTCAGTGCATGATTCTCTGGCTTTGTATTTCCAACACAAATTGTACACAATTTGTCCTGCTGTGACCTGAAACATCATTTTAAACTGGACTTCAACAAAGTTAAACATTGAGTTAGTTAAGCCCACTGTGCATTTATTTATTGATTTTTTTTATTTCTTAGCTGATAGTATTGCATGTAGCACTTTCTCTTCTACTTTTTTCTCACAACATATAACCTGTAAGGGTGGCCCAGGGGTAGTTACTTCCAAGTGATTCAATAGGTTTTTATAACTGAGGGTAGACAAAATAATTTATATTCATTTTGATTTAAAATTCCAGTTATGCTGTAAATGTTTTCTGGTTCATTTTGTATAGTAAAAATGCTATGGGTTTATTTTATTTATTTCACATATGTGCATGATAACCTGTGAATGTTTTTTACTTAATATTCAAATGAAAGATGACTGGATAGATAGCCCCTCAAGGAAATAATTGCATATTCATACTTGAAAAATCCTTTCAATATCTATGTATTTGGCTAATTATATAGTTTCATATATTGTATTGTTGGGGAAGATAAATGATGAAATGAAATGAAAATGAGTTTACACTGACTCAAATGCACTCGTTAGATCAATTTCAATTTCAATCTAAATTAAAATTTTGTTTTTGTATTGAACTGACTTGGCTGTCCTTGTGAGTAGTTGTCAATTTTCATGAATCTCTCAGTTGATTTTGGTACTAAAATTTATGGCATCATTTTTCTTTGTGTTGAAGAGAGGAAGATGGGATTATCATGTTGAAACTTCTCCAAACTGTTGGAAAATCTCTACTTTACAATGTAACACTTAAGGGATGCCAAAAGGAATCTTACGTGTTCTACATGCCTTTCTATATCTTTTATTTACTGGGAATAAAGAACAGAGATTCAGGCTAAAATTTATTTGGTATTTGATTTAACTCTGATCCTATGGAGGCAATGAAATGTTTGCTTGAGAATTTTGTGGAGCTATATGCTATAAATCACAGATATATCCCAGCAGGCTCTGGAGAAGGCAGGCATGGTCACACAATTTTTTTTACAATAAATAGTGGATTATATTTTACAAGGAATATTGATGTTTTGTCATATTTTAATGTGATGCTGAATCACTGGAATGTAGTCCTTCCTCAGTTAAAATTCTCGAATGTTAAATATGTGAAACTAGATAGTTAACTTTCCATTTTATGACTTTAGATTAATACTTGATTCTAAATCAAATGATCTCTCTGTTGAAGTTTGTGGTCAGTTTACATTTTTTTTAGAATAACCTTAAACCAGTGTCTAAGGATATTTTTACAATGAAATTAAAGGCAATGCTGATTGCTTTTATATACTATATACTGCTTATTTAGTATCTCAATTGTAGTTGTGCATATTCCTAATACATTGATCTTGAGAAAGTATTGAACTCCCTCTGCTCCTGTTCTTCAAAAAACAAACAGATAATTGTAGAAAGTGGTATACCAGATGCTATTTCAGGCAAAATCGTAGTTGATTGGCTTAGAAAAAAATCTGACATGATTTTTTTTCCCCCTTTCTAGTTGCAAGTCATTGTTAAGAGATGGTTCAAGAAAATCTACCTCATAAATTCCGTTTGTTTGCCCATATGCTGCATCACTGGAGATCTCAACAGGAACTTGTCAGTTATTTTTGAAAGTCTCAGGAAAACATATGGATATCAGGTCAATGTATTACACTCTAGGAATGGTCAAAATATGAAGCATTCTCAATTCAGCAGGCCAATGTATTACCCATAAGTGTGTTAAGAAAGCTTAAAAACATTTCAAACAGTACTCTCGATAGTTCTTAATTATTCAGGAAATGGTAGCTTGATCTCTTCTGAAATCAATTGACTTTCTCTAATCTTGTCTTGGCGATATTAAATGGAATGCAATCATGTCTACTCATGAAGGAATACAGATCAACACAGACTATGCTGTCGCTTTGTTAGAACAGTTAAAATCATTCTATGAACAGCAATTGCTAACTGACATTGTTTTAATTGTCGAGGGCACTGAATTCCCATGTCATAAGATGGTTCTTGCAACATGCAGCTCTTACTTCAGGTACGTGTTTATAATAATACTTTTTTTCCAAGAAATATGTATCCAAAATATATCTGAATAGTACGATTTATTAAGTGGATTCTACCACTAACTTGAAATAAATGAAGAACTAAAATTATGCAGTTTAAACTCAGGTTAACAAAATATGGAAAAATGAACTAATAATGCATGTTAAATGGTTCAGGGTTATTCTCAATGTGGAAGATAAAAATGGGCATCAAATACATAAGGTTTATTTGAACATAGTCATGTATTGAGGCAGGAATAGGCAAATTTTTGGTGTCCCTGTGCATCCTTGGAATTTTAAAACATCTTATACATCCTCTCAGAAGAAAACTGGCAACATTGCAGCCAACAAGTCCTCAAATTTGTCCATCCATTATGTTATCTATCTTTCCAGCTCAAATTTACCTTTTTTTACTGGACAAATGAAATATGTACAAATAAAGCATTTTGCTGCAATCCTATGACACTTTATGTGATATATTTAACTGTTGACTTATCTGACTTGTCTCAGAAACAACTCATGAATTTGGTGGGCAGTTTATTTTAAAATGAGTATTGCATTTTTCCTTGGATTCATATCTGGGCTGTCTGCTAAAAGTAATATTTGGAGCTGAGATTAAATTTATTTTGGTTTTAATTAAACTAAAATATAGTTAATGAGTTTTTTCTAATAATATATTTAACTGTCATGTTAAAATTACAATTTAGTAACAGGTTTGGAGGCCTCTGGGATCTCTTGAGATGGGATACAACTATAGGGCATTGTTTCTGTTGTAAATGAAGAAAACAGTAGTGTTTAACTAAAAGAAATCTCAAAAAGGTAAATCTTAAATCTATAGACAAATTGAAATAGAAAGCTTATCTTTACTAGGGATATAACATATTTTGGAAGGAAAGTTAATCAATAGAAACAAGTATTAGGCAATATGAAGACCAGACCAATTCTAAGGTTGAAAACAAACAGACTTGACAACAGATTCCCTTTTGAATTAGAATGGGATACTATTAATACAATATAAAACATCCATGAATTGTGAAGATTAGTATTCTCTAAATTATATTAATAGCAATAGCAGTATCATTTAGTCTTGCATAGTTCTTTAAAGCTCCATAGTGCTTTATAGCTCTCTCTGGGTAGTTTACAATGTAAGCATTATTTGTATTTTGCTCTAACAATCTGGGTTCTCATTTTACCAACCTCAGAAGGATGAAGACAGAAGTTAACCTTGAGCCCCATCATGATCAGACTCCAGGTTGTGGGCAGAGCAATACTGCATTCTAACCCCACCACCATTTAGAAGGACATTCTGCATTATCCTGAGATTATATAAGATATAGTTGGAGATAGTGGCTTAAAGTTTATTCACCTGCATGCCTAGTAATTTTGTATAATATTTTGCATCGACATAGGCCCTCCGTTCCAGTCATAAGAAACTGTACAAGATAACTGTAAAGTTACCTGATAAGCCTTGTTATGAAATAAGTGCAGTGTTAGATAAGGCCTGGTCCATATATTCTGCATTGCTTTGCAAGATATTGGGATAGAATGTTTTTCTTCTATGGCTTGCTTCCTGGTATGGCTGAGAGGAAAATAGACAAAGTATCTCTGGTAAAATGAATTCTAGTTTTTTTTTTCCTTCAGACAAATTTTTAGTTTATTCAAAGAAAGTTAAAATATAAAATGCCAAAATATTTAAAAAAGACAAAAGAATAAAAACAAAACAAAGAAAACTTTGAAAAGCAAAAGTATCTTAAAAAAAGAACAAAAAAAGACTAACACATAATATTTTCCCTAGTTGAATGCTGATTAATATATCAGTGTTAGTTTCCCACCCCTTGTGAAATAAGCAAAAAGAATTTTAAACTATTAAACTACTAAATCTATTTACAGATTGTTACACAGTTATCTGTATACTATATTAATAACAAAATGGTTAACAGAAAAAACAATAATAAACATAAAATTATAAAAGTAATAAAATTATTAACAGTAATAAGAAAAAAACAAAATTGAAATTCCAAAACCATTTGTTAACGAACTGTTATTGGAATCAATTCGTAGAAAATTTACCATGGCTTTACTCTCAAATCATCCCAAATATTAACCCTAAGCAGTTCCGGATCAAATATCCACATTTGTTTCTTTATATCCCCTTTTATCAATTGTTGATTGATTGAATACAATAAGTCCAATTTTCAAAGGCAATCTGTTTCCCCCAAAATAACCCAGATAAGATTGTTGCTCAATTAAATATAACAATTACATTTCCCATTGTGCTTCAAAACCCTTAAAAAAGCCATTTGCCACTTATCCACCCAGAGAGTTATCTGCTATTATATAAAAGCACAGTGTTGAGCTTCAGGAAGGTGTATGAAACTGACTCTGTTATTTCTAAGTCTATATTTCTTCCTGACTGTTTTACTGCTGGGAAACTACATTTGTTCTTAATGCTTTTCCACAGTCTGTGTTGTTTCTGAGTCTGTATTTCTTTCCACCAAATCTGTTACTTTGAAAACAAGTTCTTTTTGTAGGTTTAAAGTATTTGGGGTTGGTTTCTTCAGAATGTTTTCCACAATCTTTATGAGTTCATCAAAACTTTTGGGGAAAAAATCAGCTAAAGATTGCATGTTGCTAGCTAGTCTCTGTCCCCCCTCCCCTTGTGTCAGCCTCCTCCTCCTCTCTGTAATCTGATATGTTGTTGCTCAATGGAGTGGATAAATAAAGCAGGGAACAAGCAAAGAAAACAGTGAAGGTATTTTCAGACTATTGTGATCCAAAATAATTTTTCAGGTTAATTAAATACAAATCCAGAGAGATGTGCTATGTTTCCATATAGAAAAGTGAAAGTTGATAAGAGCATTCAAATAAAAAAAAGAAAGCAAAAAACAAAACAAAAAAAACAACAGATAGAATCCAGCAGGGGTTGAAATAAATCAGCATTCAGCCAACCAATTAACCTTTAAAGATAAGAACAAAAACCTTCACAAGAAATGGAGTTAAAAATCTCAGGCATGCTTAGGAAAATGTTCTGCTGGTAGGAAGAGATGTAACAAACACCATTGGTTTTTCAGCTGCTCCCTCAAGGAGCTGCAACCTTCCAAGATTCCCCCTCCCAAGTGGGTCCACATTCACCCAAAAATCATCTTCGATCATTCCTAAGTGGCCCTATTCTAATCCAGCAGGCAAGGCTGCCAAAGAATCAGCTCTGGTAGCAAAAACAGCAGATCATGAGTAAGAGAAAGAAAGCTAAATGTCTATGGAGATTCTCGGTCATTAAGGTCATAGTTATCCCAAAGATACTTTTTTGTGAGGCAACTGGACTTTCTTGTTTTCCTTTGAAGACGTTTTGCCCTCACAATGCAGTACAATGCAGTGAGCCAGGTGCAGATCTGTACATTGGGGAAACAAAATAACTTCATAAACATATGGCACAATGTAGGAGAACAAACCCATCAGGACAAGAGTCAGCAGTCCATCTGCATTCAAAAGACAAAGGCCACTATTTTGAAGACAGTAAAGGCCACATTTTGGACAGAGAGGACCGCTATTTTGAAAGGGTTCAAAGAGGCCATCTATGTCAAAATTGAACAACCCTCTCTCAAAAGAGAGAGAGGGATCCAACATAATCTCTCTCCAGTCTACAACACAGTCCTTTCAGCAATTCCAAGAAGGCTCCACACCCATTTGCACTACTCAGATGACCCTGAAGACACAGATAAGCCTCCAGGTAGCTTTAACCACTCGCTAAAAGAATGCAAATGTACAGCTGTCTGCAAGGAATATAAGTCCTTTCATTCCCCACCATCCAGTCAGAGCTGAAAAAGGTTCTTGGATGAGAAGTGAAACATCTTCAAAGAAAAGAAAGTCCAGTTGCCTCCTGAGAAAGCATCTTTGGGAGAAAGAAAGCTGTTACTCTTCAGCAGCCATCTTGGGGAGGGGCCAACAGATTCTAGATTTCTAAACAAATTTGAAGTCAGAAATATAATATGAACTAATATGAACAAAATTGAACAGCTCTTTATATAACTAATCTTTGATTTATGACTACAATTGAGCCCCAAATTTCTGTTACTAAGACAGAAGTTATTTTTGCCTCATTTTACGACCTTTCTTGGCACAGTTAAGTGAATCACTGCAGTTGTTAGTAGCCTGGTTGTTAAGTGAACCTGGCGTCCCCATTGACGTTGCTTGTCAGAAGGTTGAAAAAGGTGATCACATAATCCTGGAACTCTGGAACCATCATACCTATGTCAATTTCCAAGTGTCTGAATTTTGATTACATGATCCTGGGGATGCTGCAATGATCGTAAGTGTGAAAAATGGTCATAAGTCACTTTTTTCAGTACTGTTATAATTTTGAACAGTCACTAAATGAACTGTTGTAATTCGAGGACTACCTGTAATTAATTTTTAATAGCCCAGTGAAAACAATAGAAACATTTGTCTATTTTAGCACTGAAAATAGTGTGTAGTATTGAATGTTAACATTCCTAACCAGAGTAAAAATGGGTGGTGTATGGATATTATACTGACTTTCTAAAGTGTCATTGATTTTCAGTGAAATTGAGACAATACAACTTGGAATATACGCATTTTGAATCAATAATTTTACAAGCTATTCACTATATTGAATGCTATCCACAAACAATTTTTAGAATACTGGAGCAATTAGATAGGAACTAGAGATGATTACAATTTTATTTTTATCATTCAGGGCAATGTTTATGAGCGGGTTGAGTGAAAGCAAGCAAACACATATTCATCTGAGGAATGTGGATGCAGCCACTTTTCAGATCATAATAACTTATGCTTATACGGGTAATTTGGCAATAAATGACACAACTGTTGAACAGCTTTATGAAACAGCTTGTTTCCTACAGGTAAGATTGTTTTATACTAACTTTTCTAAGACGTGTTTTCCAAGTTATATCTTTCATAAAATTGAATAGTGTAAAGTAACCTGCAAGATCAGTAGGAAAAAATGGAAACAAATTCTTGAAATTCCAACTACTACCTTTCTGTTGAAACAAGTGATTATTGTGCAGATTTAGATGCCTGTGACTCACAGTAAAATGGCATGACATCTCCTTCCATTAATACAGAGATAATAGAAAAAATATTGCTTACTGAGATGTTAACAGTCTTTTCAGTAATAAAAATGCATAGTGGAAAATACCTTTGCTGGTACAGAAATTCATTGTGACCAGCTAGAATTTCATAAAAGAATAGACATTCTTGTATTATTTTGGATAGTTTGAGTAAAGGTAAGAACTTTTAAGGTTCACCTCTTGGAAAGAGACTTTTAGAATGTGCAGAAATGTGTATGAGATTGTTTTGTTTTGTAGCATTAAAGCAGCTGTGTGGTTTTCCAGGTTTCATTGTTTTCCCATCAAAGCAAAGTGAACATGCACGTACATGTATGCAGATCAAGAGCAGAAGCTGCGCAGTCTTAGCCACTAGAGCAGTGGAAGTCATTCACTGAAGTCAAGTCAAAACTTTAGAAAGCACACCTCAAAATGTAAAAGCAACCATGTTCTTCAGCAATCTTAACATAGCTCCTTTGAAGGTTTTTTCTGGTTGTGCGATGGGACTGGAAGTAAATCAGTGTATAGACATGAGCACAGATCTATAATATTTCAAGAAATGTGCTTTGTTTGTATTTCATAATATACTTTGTGAAGTTCCTTTTATGTGCACTTTGCACAGTATTATTACTTCCCAGTAATCAATTTGGTCTCAGAAGGAAATTTTGATAGTTTCTTTTCTTTCCATAATCTGCTAGCAGTACATAATCCTAGATTAATATGTGATATCCAATATTTTGGTATTTATGACAGGATAGAAATTAAGATTATTACATTCCATTTTTTCATCATTAATAACAAGTATGAAGATGATGAAAATGTTTTGATCACTTCTCATATATTTTTTTTAATTGCAGGTCGATGACGTGTTACAACAGTGTAGGGAATATTTAATTAAAAAAATTAATGCTGAAAACTGTGTGCGGCTTTTGAGTTTTGCTGATCTTTTTAGCTGTGAGGAGTTAAAACAGAGTGCTAAAAGAATGGTAGAACACAAGTTTACAGTTGTATATCACCAAGAGGCTTTTATGCAGCTCTCACATGATCTGTTGATAGATATTTTGAGCAGTGACAATTTAAATGTGGAAAAAGAAGAGACAGTTCGTGAAGCTGCTATGTTGTGGCTGGAGTATAATACAGAATCTCGATCACAGTATTTGTCATCAGTTCTTAGCCAAATAAGAATTGATGCACTTTCTGAAGTTACACAACGAGCTTGGTTTCAAGGCTTACCACCAAATGATAAATCAGTAGTGGTTCAAGGGTTGTATAAATCTATGCCGAAGTTTTTTAAACCAAGACTTGGAATGACTAAAGAGGAGATGATGATCTTCATTGAAGCTGCTGCTGAAGGTCCTGGTAATATTTACTCTTCAGTATCTTACAGCCCACAGGCTGAAAAAGTTTATAAACTCTGCAGTCCTCCTGCTGATCTCCATAAAGTTGGAACACTTGTAACTCCTGATAATGATATTTATATAGCAGGTGGGCAAATCCCCCTGAAAAGTACAAAAATCAACTACGGTAAAACTAGCAAATTTCAATTTGCTTTCCGTACTGTGAATTGTTTTTACTGGTTTGATGCCCAGCAAAATACATGGTTTCCAAAGAGTCCAATGCTATTTGTTCGTATAAAGCCATCTCTTGTTTTCTGTGAAGGCCTTATCTATGCAATTGGTGGAGACAGTGTTGGTGGAGAACTCGACAGAAGAACTATGGAAAGATATGATACTGAGAAAGATGAATGGACCATGGTAAGCCCTCTGCCCTGTGCTTGGCAGTGGAGTACAGCCGTTGCTGTTCATAACTGCATTTATGTAATGGCACACAACTTGATGTACTGTTACTTCCCCAGATCAGATGCTTGGGTTGAAATGGCTACAAGACAAACTAATAGATGCTTCGCTTCAGCTGCTGCTTTTGGGGATAAAATATTTTATATTGGAGGCTTGCATGTTGGTGGCAATCTTAGTATAGGATTACGTCCTCGGACTATAACTGGACCTTCCCTAGCAGTGGAAGTTTATGATGTGAATAAAAATGAATGGCAAATGGCAGCCAAAATTCCTGCCAAGCGATATTCTGATCCCTGTGTCAGAGCTGTTGTGATTTCTAACTCAATGTGTATCTTTGTACGAGAAACACATATGCATGAAAGAGCCAAGTATGCCACCTACCAATATGACATGGAACTTGATCGTTGGTTCTTGCGACAGGATATATCTGAGCGGGTACTCTGGGATTTGGGAAAAGATTTCCAATGCACTGTGGGAAAACTCTATCCATCTTGTCTTGAAGAGTCCACATGGAAACCTCCATCATACCTAGTTTTTCCTTATACAGATGATGAGTTTGAAATTGAGGATGATGTTCCACTGCCACTTGTATAGCTCCCTTATTCAGAGACTGCATGCCTGTAACCAATTATGAACATTGTATTTGAGAGACTAGAGCTGCAAAATGAAATGTTGTCTTGTATGTATGCCCTAATTTTTTTGTGGCCATTGAGTGTAAATCAGTAAAAATTCTTACTAGATATGCTTCCATAATTTCAGTCCCTCTGATAGTTGATGGAATTTCTCTCACACACAACACAACCTGTGTGTGTATATATGTGTGTATATATGATTATATATATCATATGATCATATATGTCATATGAGTATATGTATTATCTATATGTATCTATATTTCAAGCTTAAAGCCTCTGCTTGTCTAAATTTTTAGTCCTGTGAAAACATTGAGTTCTGGAACTTTTCACAAAGCAGCTTGTATTTCTAGAATGTTATATTAATTGCTCAAAATATCTTCCAGTTATATTTAAATAAGTTCTGGAAATATCTGTATGTGCTAGTTATATAGATTGTGTAGCTGAATGAAACGTGCTGCACTCAATACACACAGTTGTATTGGTGTAATAATACCATGTAAAAGAATAAAATCCCATGGATCTACCTGTGGTAGGAAGGGTAGATCTTCCATTTTATGGTGATATGCAGGGCAAAATGACTGCAGGTTCAGTCGAGCTATATTATGATAATGAAGAAGATGATGATGACTAGGTGCATGTATTTTCACTAACTTATACCTGTTTATTTAGAATACAGGTCTTCCGAGCAGCTGGTAGTTTACCAGGTGTGAACTGACATTGCTGGGCTTGCAGTAAGAATTGCTAGCCCTTCCTAGTGCGGGTCTGTGTGGAGCTTTTGATCAGTAAATAGCTCCATGTTCTGTATTTCTGAAACATTGGCTTATGAATATTAGTTCCTGCTGCTTATTTTCCCCTACCCCAGTATAAACAAAAGTGTAGTGTGAATTAACCATGTCTTTATTTTTGTTAATTTAACATTACTGTAATATGTCTTTGTAAAAATATCCTTACATTGTTTGTCTCTTATTTTCTCTTGTGGGGTGGGGGGAAGAGAAATTTTGTTCAGGAATACTTTGTGCTGAAGAGCGGTTGCTGCTCTGGCATTAATCCCAGGAACCACTAGCAGTAGTAAGGCACCACCAATCTCACAGGAGCCCAGATACTTCATGATGGATCATACTAGCATGTTCAGCTGCATCGTGTTCTGGCACTGTATTTTGAATATTAATTTATTAAAAATGAATCATTGTTCTTTCCCCCCCCCATACGTCTGTGTATTTATCCGGAGTTGTTGAAGTATGATTGAAACAACAGTTTTTAAAATTGCTGTTTAAAATGTTAATACTTAAATAGTAGATTCAGATGTTCAGAAAAATCTGAAAAAAATATGAAATGATTATTTCTTTCTGTTTAGAGGTCAAAAAATGTTTGAAGGCAGAAGAAAAATAAAATGTGGTAAAAGCCCTATATGTTAAAGACCATGCAGGCTTTTAGCTCATAGGCCTTCTTCATAGACAGTATTCACAATCTTATTAATATTACATAAAATCACAGTAATATAATTACAGTAAAGCAGTATACTGAATTTTTCTCTTTGGTTCCAGACATTTATTTTTGTGCCCTGGGATTTCTTACACCATTTTTTTGCTTTCTTTCTTCCTAATTAATAATTATATTTTCTTTAATGTTTGGAATAGATTTTATATTGCTTTGTGATAAAATAGTCTCTGCAAACTAGGAAACTGACATTCAGCCAAAATCATAAAAAAATTATTACTGTGTCAGCCAATTTTGAGAATGGAATAAGAAGCAGTTAGAACTTATCTTTCTTATTGCCCCTTTTTGTGAGTCAATTACTCATTCTTCAGCAGCTTATTAAAAACTTTCTATTTTTGAAATAATCCATTTTGGTTAAGATAGAATGCTGTAGCAAAACCTTTAGAGTCTTGTGATTAAAAATACTACTAATTAATAGCATACTTTTTCATGAACACTGAATAGATATCAGTTCGTGAATCTGCCAATCAAAACTAAACTTTGCTGTTTGAAAAATAAAAACAAAACAAACCCAACTAAAAGATTTAGATTAAAAAGAGGAATGGCAGAAGTTACAACACATGGCCACAGAAACTTGTGTATAAAGTAGAAATCTTATACTTGAACATGCTAGTGTTTGATTATAATAGTTCTCTTTAAGAAGCATTTAATTTAAAGTGTTACATGCTGCTGATCCTTTTGTTCTTTAATTTGGGCTTCTTTTGGTTTTGATTTTGGCCCTGAACAAGTTTAAATATAAAATTTTGGAAAGGGAGGTGTTGAGATTCTGCTAATCTCATAAATTTATGAGAGGGCATTGTATAATTTATTTAAACTTTTCAAAATAGCTTATTAAGCCACACTTCATTTTTGCTGTTAAAATTAATACTTTTTTCCACTAAAAAAATCAGAATAGATTCTTGAACAAGACAGGTCAGCAAGCATATATTTGAGCAAGGCTTTCAGAAAGTTTTACGAAGAAGCATAGGCCTCTATGACAACTTCATAGGATTTTGTAAGACTACTGTGACGAGGATGCTGCCGATTTTCTTTCATTAGTACTTTGGTTCTTATCAGATTATGGTGGTGGTGTTTTTTTTTAAAAAAACCCACCATATTCCTCAGCCCAAAAAAGTTTGAAAAACTCTTAGACAAGATCTGGTTGCATGCAGATAAGTTATCTTTTTGCAAACCTGAGAGTATCTGACCATGGTAACTAAACCTGAGTGTCACACCATTTTGAGCAAAACAACAAAGTTATCAGTATAGTATGTAAACTCAAAACAGGTACAGCCATTAAAAAAAAATACTCTCCAAAGCAGTTCTGCCAACATATGATTAGGCCAATCTATTTTGCAGTCCTTAGTCCTTTGTGGTTTACCTGTGCTTTAGAACCTAACATTTGTCTTCATAAACTTATAAAGAGTGTATATACAATTACGATGGCTATTTTTATGGAAATTAAGATTCTGGTCATTTGTATTGCAAAATGGAAAAAGTAAGTTTTTTTAAAAAATGCATTGAAACTGCTCTATAATAAGTATGTACTGAATAAGAAAACTTTGAAACCAGTGGTAATTCAGGCTATAGTAGAGTGGGCTACCAAGATAATAGATAAAACAGGTATCTTCTAAATTGCCTACAGGATAAGATAAGATATAAAATACTTTGAGGGCTTGGTGTTTTTCAATCCTCATTCCAGAGGCAAAATAAGCAGCATTTTCCATTAGCTACATTATACATTTTCAATAGAAAAAGATGTTTTGGATATTAAAATCTATATCTACAGTAGAGCATTAGAGATGGTAAAGTTTGAATCATTTTTAGTTGTTCATTTTTTTCTCCTATTTTTTGTTATCTTCATAACACAGATCTCAAACTTTATCCTTTCAGAAGCTTTTAGCACTGTTAATAATTCCTCATGTGAAATCTACTCAATGTTTCTACCTAGCAAAAATAACTATAGACTTATATTGAAATCTATTTGTCATATTTAGTTACAATATTTTATCCAAATAACATGTCTTCACATATCTTAAAAAAAGAATATTTTGTTAGGATAAAATATATAGATACATTAAGTCTTTCTCAAACACAAGAATATTATTTGTTCATCTAATACACATTTATTCTTTCAGAACTGATAATGGATTGCTTTCAACTAATTTTTACTATTATGTTTCATTTTAGTTAACTCATGATTGAACAACTATGTTTGTATGTCCAGAAGTTAGTTTTGTGATTCTAATGACTTATAAATTAGATGAGAGGTTTAAGTATTTATTTCATTTTGTAATGGGATACACATTTCTAAATGCTTGAAAAATGTTTTTAAAACAAGAATAGTTATGTTATATATGATACAAATATATAATTTCACAATAGAAAGTCCCAGTGCATAAAACAAAAATACTTCAAAATAGCAAGAGATCGTAAATCTGATCCTAACTTGTTTGTGCAGGTGTAGCATCAGCATGATGTTCGCAATATCCATTAAATAGTTTCATCATCATGTTCCTAATTATTTGCTCACAGTAAGACTGGATGCATATATTGTATTCAGAAATTGAAGATTTCTCAGTGTATTGATTGCACAGAGTTACTGCTTTTACATGACAATGACAGTTTTATTTTCATTTTTTCCCTAGCTGTTGAATTAAGCATAAGTGTATCTCACTGTACTTACATGTAAGTATCATATATTTGAGTCACAGACACATTCTGTGTCACAACAAAGTAAGGTCCATGTGGTGGTATAAACCATTCCATAAGACTCACTGAAAGCTAAATTAGGCTATACTTGTAAGTTTACTAAAAACATCAAAATAAGGAATTAAAAATGGAATTGGAAGAATAAACTTCATTTTTGTGGTTTTTATCAATGAATGACAATGCCACAGGAATATACTAGATAAATAAGTTGACACTATGTGTAAGAAGCACACACACTAAACTAAAATCCTTGTGTTTTCTTAAACGAAACCTAGTTTTTAATTTACACTTCCTACTGATAGAGTTTAAAGAATTGTTTAAAGAATGCTCAAACTCCAGAACAGAAGTCGTTATTGGCTGGAACACAAAGTTACATTGTTCATATTAAATTTGAATTGCATTTTTATATCTCACTGAAGCAACATAGTTTGAAATAGCAGTGCCATTATTAAAAAGATATGTTGGAAAGATCTTGGGCTACCTTAAACTTTTCCACAAAATTAGGCAACCTGGTGTTTTTATCCCAATTTGTTCAGAGGTTACTTCTACAGAACCTAAAATACTTCATTATAACCAATGATTTATGCATAAAGGATCAGAAATTGATACATGATGACTACTTTTAGCTTTACTGATATGATTAAATATTTCTTAAATTTTCAGTATGTGAAATAACTTTTGGAATGGCAAATATAAATACTTGCATGGGACTGCCAGTTTTAACTATTGCTACATCTTGTTTCAAAAGGCTGTAATCTTTCCATGTAAAAAGTGTATAATCAAACAACTCCCAATGAGAAATCAAAACAAAAGGTTATGTTATGATAGAACTTAAAATTCAAAAGCAACTACTTTACAGTGTATTTGATTTCTATTCCACTTTTCTGTTCAAAATTAATTTTTCATTAGAACAAGTACTCTCCTTGTGCTTAAAGTCAAGTGATAGCACAGCATGTACAGCTATCTGTAAATTCAATTCAGAGTTGATAGCTTTACAACAGGTTCTTGAGTTAAAATGCTTCTTTGTAAGCCCTGTTCACAGTTATACTTGCAGAACTGAATCACACTTTAAGAGCGTAGTCTAGTAATGCACTATTAAAAGAACACTGATATTTGACAAATCACAATATTGGTTACATTTCAGTTATCAAAATGTTCGGAAACAGCAAAGCTTCTTTCCAATGGAACTAGCTGTCCTTCCTAAACATTTACTACATTATGTAGCAATATACCTATAAAATATTCTATTTAATTTTTATAAGATAGCACATGGATATTTGGGATACCAAAACTGGCTACTAGTTTTCATAAAGTTGATTTGGAACAGTGGATATTTACAGTAGCTATAAACTAATATATAAGAAAAATATTATAGTCCAAGCTTTCAAGGTGGAGCTTTAATCAGAATTTCCATTCACCCCAGATGATGTAGCCAATCATTAAAGCAATTGCACAAATTAAAAATCTAATTTCAGAACTGTGACACAGCAAGTAAATAGATAGGAATATTGCTAGTACAAATTTGATAACAGGCATTCTCATCCCTGCTTTATAGGGAAGTTGTGGAAATTAACTGTAACTAGAATATATTTGAAATAAATTTATTTAGAAAGATACAATCATATTTCTCCGTTAAATTCAGAATACAAGAATCTCTGATTATGGTAAGCAATGCAGTCAAGAAAGAAATAATGTACTACTAATATTAATATTCAGTTGTCTAGAAATCTGATAATCTATGTCATAATTTGTGTTAACTATGCATTCCTCCTACCATTACATCAACTCTGAAAAGGAAAATCAGCAATTGTGACCATGGGATTATTTCAAAATAAAAATGGTTCAAAATAAATATTTGGTTAAATCATTGTTTTAAACTGGGCCATATTATGTTTTCATAGGCATCAGTGAAATCACTTTTTTCTTTAAAAATGAACGAGGTTAAACATACTGTATGTGTGGGTAGATGGGGCAAAAATTACTTGCTAACACACATTGCCTAGAAAATATTATAGCAGCTGTGGAAAAAAAAGAGCCTAATTAAGGAGAGGTAGATAATTTGATAAAAGTATTTAGATACTGAGACACTTAAATATAACAAAAGAACATGAAATTGCACTACATTCCCATTAACAAAAAACAGTAATTAGACCAGTGATGGCGAACCTTTTAGAGACCGAGTGCCCAAACTGCAAACCAAAACCCACTTATGCATCGTCGGGTGCCGGGTGGGTGTGGCCCATTGGCTGAGCGTGGCTGAGGTGGTAACGGCAGACTGGGTGGGACTAAAAAGTTCAATCAATCAATTCCAACTTTGCAAGATTTTTTTTCCCGCGAGAAGTTGAAATTGACTGATTGATTGAACCTTTTTTTTTTTTTTGCAAATGGTGGAGGTGTAAAGTGAAAAGGTTTTATAAAACCCAACTGAAGGCCTAGGACTGGGGCGATGGCGTGCGTGCCCCCAGAGAGGGCTCTGAGTGCCGCCTCTGGCACCCGTGCCATAGGTTCGCCACCACTGAATTAGACCTATACAGTGTGAAAAGTTAACTCCTGCAATAGTTGTCACCTAAATGATGACATGATGTAAAAGTTTTACATCATGTCATTTAAAGTCAAATATTTAAAGTCTGCTAATTTAAATTTCATTAATTTTACGTTATCCCACTTACAATTACTTCCATTTGTAACACCTTTGTGAAAATATATTCTATTGAAACAAACAATTCTGCACATTGGACTTCCAGAAAGAAAAAGATATATTTACAAATACAAATGTGAATATATTTTTATGTATTAAATGTTGAAATATTACCTCCATATACACTATTATGTTCCATACTGAAATATAATTTAACTCTTAAAAACAATGCAAAACAATTTAACTTAAAATACAGCTAACTTGACAGATCACCATCCTCCAAAATACAACTTACATTGGAAAATAAACCTGCAATAAGGTTCAAACATAAAGCAAAGAAGCATTAAAGCAGTTGCCAAATTATATCCTGTGGTGCAGCTCAAAGACCATTCATCTTCATGCAGCTTGAATTCAAGTGCCTATGGTTTTATAGCAAAGACTTTTGGTTTCTTAAAATAAATGCAAGAACTTAGCCCAGAAGAATTATTCCCCAAGGCTTTGAGACGACTGGGTGAAAGTGGAAAGCCATGAAGACACTGCTGATTTTGCACTGGTGAGTGCTCCTCCAACTGATTGACCTGTATTATGAAACAAAATAGGATGGGGGGGGGGTTTAAATAGAATAGATTAAGAACATATGTCAGAAGCACTTCCGCCTGAATAATATTTTATTCATTACTGTAACCATTAGGCCAGGGGTAGGCAACCTTGGCTCTTTTATGACTCGTGGACTTCAACTCCCAGAATTGGACCTTGGCTCTTTTATGACTTGTGGACTTCAACTCCCATGCTGGCTCAGGAATTCTGGGAGTTGAAGTCCACGAGTCATAAAAGAGCCAAGATTGCCTACCCCTGCATTAGGCCATATCAGAATACAAAATATAGAAAATAAGATCACAGGTAACCAAATAAAAGTAAGCATGGCATGCAGCTGGGTTAGTTGAGGGACCACCTCTCCTCAATCACATCAACCTATCCTATCAAGTCTGGCAGGAAAGATATGTCACAGGTCTTGTCCATAAAGGAACAGTATCTGATGGGGAACCAGGAGGACAACTTTTTCTGCCATAATACCCACCCTCTGTAACAGCTTTCTGGCTTTGCAGATGGCAGGAGAAGGGGGGATGGTCCTGCACGAGGTGGGTAAGCGCACACACGCAGTTCCATTTGCACGAGCGGCGAGATTGGGGACCCCTGCTCTATAACAATCCCCCAGATATACTGGCCCTAACTTTGATGACCTTCCAAAGGGCTAAAAACATGGATTTGCCATTTGATCTGGGGAGCCAGTGACATGAATATGGAGTCTGCCTGGTAGCAGTATTGTTAGGAAAGCTAAGTGCACTTTTCTACACAATTATGGGATTTTTAAAAGATGATATTTATTGTTTCAATACTTTTAATGATTGTTGTGTTTATTGTTTTGTTTTTGTATGTACTGGGTATGCATTCAGCGTCACTTATTTGAGTGGCTATATAAATTTAGGCAATGAATGAATGAATAAACAAATACAAGGCAGAATTAAAAGGAAATATAAATCATATTTCTGCATCATCTTTACAATTTACCACAATCACATCCTCATATGCAGTTTTCATTTGTACTGTTGTGGTTGGATAAAGAACCATATTATATATAGTATTTGGGTTCCTACTATGCATGAAATACGTTATTTTAATATATGAATCCCAATGTCATTTTTAAAATACATTATCCAAGATATTGATCTGGATAATTATTTTATTGTATAATAAAATCAGAGATGTTGATCTCTTTATTATACAACTGGCATTCAAATAATATATGAGTTATGACCTGAAGCTCTTCTTTTGTTTCATAATACCTTTGTCGTAAGGTACTTGGTAAAAATCCTTTCATATTTAATCATGTCCAGCTGTTCAAATCTTGCTGGAGAAATATCCCTCTAAAATGCTTGGACATTTTATATTTAAATATTTAGCAGGTTGGAAGGTAACTTTATAGAAACTGAGGGTCTTCAATGAGCTAAAGGTAACTATATTTCTCTGAGCTTGTACAATATATTCAAGATTCTTTGGGTAGCAATTTTCTTAACTTGTTTTCTAGAGACAGCTGGACAAGAAACAGGAAGACCACAACTGATATAGTTTGTGACTTATGTAGTTCAACAGTTGAGAGGTCCTTGATGCTCTCTGAGCTTGGTCATTTTCTTTCTTTCTTACTCAAGCTAGGTAACAATTCAAGAGTTCTCTAGCTGAAATTCAGTCTGTACTATCAGGCACAATTTTGGAAATCTGTCAGTTTCCACAGCAATAGCAATAGCACTTAAACTTATATATTGCTCCATAGTGCTATATAGCATTTTCTAAGTGGTTTACAAATGTCAGGATTTTGCCTCCAACAATCTGGGTCATTTTACTAACCTCAGAAGGATGGAAGGCTGAGTCAACCTCCAGCTAGTCAAGATCGAATTCCAGACTCTGGCAGAATTAGCCTGCAATACTGCATTTTAACCAATGTGCGACCAAGCTGTTAGCACTGATTTTGCTCCAATAATTGTGTGCCCTGATTTTAGATAACACATTCCCAATGTGGCTCTAACTGCAGCAACTGAGGTCTTTTAGCCACATTCAAAATACTTCTCAGGTGTTGGGAGTGCTCTATAATTTGTACGTTTTATTTGAGTTTCATATAGGGAGTATAGGAGTGCCTTTCGCTTTGTATACTTTAATAATTATGGCTAAAGAATATGGATAAAAGTGATGTATTAATTTTAACAATAAATTTACATGTGTCTTTGCTCTTTGTGAGCTTCTTTGATGATGATGAGGGAGCCAAGGTCCAGTCTCAGAGAAGACATCCCTTAAAGCCACTTACAATTGCAATGTCATTTTCTAAAAAAATCATAATCTTTGATTTATTAATAACAGAGAATTATGATAAGTTCTTATTTACATAGTCCAACTTGTGAATATGATAATATAATTGAATATAATAATAAAGTCATTGTCAGCTTACATCAAAGTGTTATAATACTTTAGGCATGTGTACTTCTGGATTTTTCATCACTCCTGTTGAATCATTAATATACAGACTAAATGGCACTGGCGCGTATATGCATCTCTGCCTTGTCCTTTGTAAATACTGATATTGCTTGCATGATTTCATTGACTCCAAATCACAATCTCAAGCAAGGATTTTGTGCAAAGAATTTTTATCAATGCAGCAAGCAGTCTGGATCCCATATTGAGGATAAACAATTTTCTCCATAATGCTTCTCTGTTAAGTGTCAAATGCTATACCCTATCAGCTCAGCAAATGGTTGATTCTCCTTGTCACAGATTTAATAATTATATGATTAAAGATTAAACTTGTCAGTAATAGATCAACTCTGTCTAAAGCCAGATTGTTGTTCTGTGAGACCTATGTACAATAAGAGTTATTCCTAAAGGCATTGTAATAAAGGTTTGCTATATATAAATATACTCTTTTATCCTTATATTTTAATTTGCTATGGAATGTTTGTTTGATTTTTGGTGTTATATGGGATCTAAATGGTTCATGAATTTCCTTTGTTAAAAAAAGATATTTGGTAAAATATAAATTTATGATTCAGCAAAAAACAATATTTTAAAGCTGGCCAAGGGAAGAATGTTTTGCATTTGTATTAATTTCATCATGGTCTAATGCACGGGTAGGCAACCTTGGCTCTTTTATGACTCATGGACTTCAAGTCCCAGAATTTCTGAGCCAGCCATGCTGGCTCAATAATTCTGGGAGTTGGTCCACGAGTCATAAAAGAGCCAAGGTTGCCTACACCTGGCCTAATGGAATGCATATTTCAGCCACTGAATTTGTAGCACATTGCTTCCCAGTAAGAGGACCACTTACCAACAGCTCTTCCTGTCTGCACAACATTTCGACTAGTGGTAACCATGGCATTTCCAATCTTCTTACCACGTTCACTGTTCTGAACAGAACTAAATTAAGAAATAGAATAGCACTGTCTTACTGCTTTCTGCTAATTTCATGTATGTAATGTTTAATAACATTAATTGTGAGCCCAACTGTCAAAAGAATGCTTAGGACCGTATTAGTTGGTAATATCAATTAGAATTAAAATTCTTTATTGGCCAAGTGTGATTGGAGACACAAGGAATTTGTCTCTGTTGCATAAGCTCTCAGTGTATATACAAGCAACAAGTGATAAATCATGATTATAATCATAAAATACATTCATCATAAATCAAAAGATACAACACTCAGTGATGATCATAGGATACTAAATAAGTAATCAACATAAATCATACTAGGATACTAAATAAAATGAATATAAATAGTAAGATGCAAGCAACAAAGTTATAGTCATAAGAAGATAAGGAATAGGTAATACCATGTTTTCCCAGAAATAAGACCCGGTCTTATATTTTTTTGCCTCCAAAGAGGCACCAGATCTTATTTTCAGAGGGTGTCTTACCTTAGGACGACCACAGCCAGGCCTCCCACATCCGACACCTGTTGCGCTGCTGCTTGACTTCTTCTGTGGCTGCTTGCCACCACTTGTGGTTGGACGCCATGTGGCACATTGCGCTGTTGCAGCTGCTCACGGCGGAACACTGCATGGTGCTTCGGGCCGCTTCTAGCGGCAAGAAGCCGCACAGCGCTTCAGGCTGCTGTTGCTGCTTGCGCAGTGCTTTGGGCCACTTCTGCTTGCAGCAGGAGGCCACGTGGCTCTTTAGGCTCTTTCTGCTGCTCGTGGCAGGAGGAGCGGAAATGGCCCGAAGCATCCTGAAGCGCTGCGCAAGCAGAAGCAGCCCAAAGCACGTGAGCAGAAGGAGCCTGAAGCACGCGAGCAGCAGAAGCAGCCCGAAGCGCTGTGCGGCTTCCGCTAGCAGAAGTGGCCCAAAGCACCATGTGGCATCCTGCCACAAGTGGTAAGCAGCCGCAGAAGTCAAGCAGCGGCGTGACAGGTGTTGGGGTGTGGGAGGCCTGGCTGTGGTGGTCCTACCAGTAAGATAAATGAGTGCGGGGTACGTGAGGCAGCTTCACCCCCCCTACCCCCACCCTAGCTTGATTTTTAGAGGTGCACCTCGCCCCAAAACTAGGGCTTAGTTTTGGGATAGGGGTTATATTAGGCCCACTCCCCAAAATCAAGCTAGAGCTTACTACTGGGCTGGGTCTTACTTTCGGGGAAACATGGTAGGAAGGATGAGAAGGATAACAGTAATACTAGGTAATCTGACAGTGTTGTGGGAATTAGTTGTTTAGCAGAGTGATGGTATGGGGGGAGAAAACTGTCCTTGTGTCTCATTGTTTTGGCATGCAATGCCCTATAATATCAATTAAGCATAAGTAAGTTGAAATGTTAATTTATGTTGCAGATAACTAGCATAGAATGGCAAGATATTTTGAGTTTGAAATATTTTGAATCTAAAATTGTTCGTTCAATTTTGGAACTGCTTGAAACTCAATCTACTACTTTTTCAAAATCAGAATGCTTCCAGGAATTTCAACATTATTTTTATTTCTAAATATTTCTAAAACTTTTTCTATATGCCTATTTAGAAGTATCTGAATAAGTTTTCAAAAAATTCTGAAATGTTCATAAAATATTGGGCATTGATCAATCCATTTCACTTTTTAAGCCAACATTTTTTAAGGCAACATAACTGAACAATAGACTACATACATTTTAACTGTCAACAAATTTAAAAACATAAGCAATACTTACTGTGATAATCTTAATTTTACATCGGAAACAGAATATTGTCCTTGGAATGGATGACTGAAAAGTGAGATAGGGCAGAAAAGAGAGAGAGGGGAAAAAAGGTAAGCTGACAAACTATTTAATATATTTTCTCAGTTATAACTATGAGCATTATCTTTGTGTGAAATGGGATACATTAAAACTCTCTCCTCTCCTTAGGAATCATTAATCTAAGTATTTCCTGTCCCCAGCAACCAATCAAAAATTACTATTTTCTTGCCATTTTGCTTTGCTGTTTCAGTAACTGGCTAGGTACTATTAAGGACAAAGGAAGTGGAACACTTTCTGGCTTATTACACAAGCCCAACAAATCAGGAATAACATGTTATATTTGCAGAACTTTTCTCAGCAGAAGAAACAAAGGAAGGTTTTACCACCAATGATTTTAAGCAAATATACTCACAAATTATGAGAAGTTTATCACCATCACTTTCACTTTCTCACTTTCCATATAAATTGATATATTCTTACCTAGGATTTACTTCTGTGAGGGCTGGGTGTTTATTACTGTTCCAGACTCTATAATTATGGGTATTTTTCCAAGCTGCTACAAAGGCTGTTCCAAAGTCAGACAATATTTTCTCACTATCTGCCAAATAAAATGAGTAAAGTGACTGTATTGCAATACTTTCTATCATATAGACATACCTACTGGCTGCATTCTGTTTTTAAATAAAAAAAAGTATATACACCTTCTGCTCAGTGAAAGATTACAGTGAGGGAAAAAATGTTTTGATCCCCTGCTGATTTTGTACGTTTGCCCACTGACAAAGAAATGATCAGTCTATAATTGTAATGGTAGGTTTATTTTAACAGTGAGAGACAGAATAAGAACAAAAAAATCCAGAAAAATGCATTTCAAAAAAGGTATAAAATTGATTTGCATTTTAATGAGTGAAATAAGTGTTTGACCCCTTCGTAAAACATGACTTAGGTGGCAAAACCCTTATTGGCAATCACAGAGGTCAGACGTTTCTTGTAGTTGGCCACCAGGTTTGCACACATCTCAGGAGGGATTTTGTCCCACTCCTTTGCAGATCCTCTCCAAGTCATTAAGGTTTTGAGGCCGATGTTTGGCAGCTCAACTCTTCTGCTCCCTCCATAGATTTTCTATGGGATTAAAGTCTGGAGACTGGCTAGGCCACTCTTAGGACCTCAATGTGCTTCTTCTTGAACCACTCCTTTATTGCCTTGGCCGTGTGTTTTGGGTCATTGTCATGCTGGAATACCCATCATACCCATCCATGACCTATTTTCAATGCCCTGGCTGAGGGAAGGAAGTTCTCACCCAAGATTTGACGGTACATGGCCCCGTCCATCGTCCCTTTGATGCAGTGAACTTGTCCTGTCCCCTTAGCATTAAAACACATCTAAAGCATAATGTTTTCACCTCCATGTTTGATGGTGGGGATGGTGTTCTTGGGGTCATAGGCAGCATTCCTCCAAACATAGTGATTTGAGCTGATGCCAAAGAGCTTGATTTTGGTCTCATCTGACCACGACACTTTCACCCAGTTCTTCTCTGAATCATTCAGATGTTCATTGGCAAAGTTCAGATGGGTCTGTACATGTGCTTTCTTGAGCAGAGGGACTTGCAAGCTCTGCAGGATTTCAATCCTTCATGGTGTAGTCTGTTACCAATTGTTTTCTTGGTGACTATGGCCCCTGCTGAGATCATTGACAAGACCCTCCTGTGTGATTCTGGGCTGATTCCTCACCATTCTCATGATTGTTGAAATTCTACGAGGTGAGATCTTGCATGGAGCTCCAGACTGAGGGAGATTGACAGTTATTTTGTGTTTCTTCCATCTGCGAACAATCGCACCAACTGTTGTCACCTTCTCACCAAGCTGCTTGGCGACAGTCTTGTAGCTTATTCCAGTTTTGTGTAGGTCTACAATCGTGTCCCTGACATCCTTGGACAGCTCTTTGATCTTGGCCATGGTGGAGAGTTTTGAATCTGATTGATTACTTCTGTGATCAAATACTTATTTCACTCATTAAAATGCAAATCAATTTATGACTTTTTTGAAATACATTTTTCTGGATTTTTTTGTTGTTATTCTGTCTCTCACTGTTAAAATAAACCTACTATTACAATTATAGACTGATCATTTCTTTGTCAGTAGGCAAATGTACCAAATCAACAGGGGATCAAATAATTTTTTCCCTTACTGTAGTTTATCCCGAAAGGGCTAATTTTGAAACAGAAGAACTAACTGAGATTTGGTGATAAAACAGGAATGAAGGCAGATGATTTTTTTTCTATGTAACCTTCCTTTAATAAGGAGGAGGCAGAACCAACTTGAATTTAGAATTTAAATATATTAACAATTTTATTTCACTTTGGTAGCATAAAACCATCACAAGACTGATGGATACAGAAACATCTAGTCAAAAAGGAACAAAGCTGCTTGAAAAAGTTGATAGTTTTTTTATGACTATATTTTTCCTGCATACCCCAAAATATGCATGATTTAATTCTAAATTATGCTGATCATACATGCTACAGAAAATAGTTTCTTCTTTGAAAGGGCTACTGATGATGACTCCCTATCCAAACAGAAATGGGATTGGTGTGAATTTTTGAATGTAATAAGCAAAGGCATAAACTTATTATTATTATTATTATATCTTCACTCAAAAAAGTAAACACATCATTTTTATTTTACAAAATTCAAATCACCCATTATTCTATCTAGAGGAATATAAATACCCAAGCAAAAGAGTTTTGCAATTATTCCATTGGGCTTGAAGAACTAAAACAGTTTATTTTCATGTATTCTAAGTATAATCTCTCTCAGCATAGGACTGTTTAAGAAGAGTTTTAACAATATTTTAATTCAGCAATCTTTACTAGTGAGAATTCTATGTTGCTGTGTCATAGAAAACATAGCCCTTTTCTTTAAGTTTCAGACCCTTTGTGGTAAGGATTACAAATAAAATGGTTATATACAGACTTAAAGGAAAAATTAAAGGTACAAGTACAGACTGGGCGTGACCTGGCTTAAAAACAGTAACTATGAGAGGGACCTTGCAGTCCTAGTGGACGATCACTTGACCATGAGCCAGCAGTGTGCAGCAGCCGCCAAAAAAGCTAATACAATCCTGGATTGTATAAACAGGCATAGAATCAAGATCATGCAAAGTATTAACACCACTTTATAAAACCCTAGTAAGACCACACCTGGAATACTGAAGCCAATTTTGGTCACCATATCACAAAAAAAGATGTTGAGAGTTTGGAAAAAATTCAGAGAAGAGCAACTAAGATGATCAAAGGCCTGGAGACTAAAACATACAAAAAATGGCTGCAGGACTTGGGTCTGGCTAGTCTAAAGAAAAGAAGAACTAGGGGAGACATGATAGCAGTATTCCAGTACTTGAGGGGCTGCCACAAAGAAGAGGGGGTCACGTTATTCACCAAAGCACCAGAGGGCAGGACAAGAAACAATGGTTGAAAACTGAACAAAGAGAAGCAACCTAGAATTAAGGAGAAACTTCCTGACAGTGAGGACAATTAATCAGTGGAACAGCTTGCCTCCAGAAATTGTGGGTGCTCCATCACTGGAGATTTTTAAGAAGAGGCTAGACAGTCACTTGTCTGAGATGGTATAGGTTCTCCTGCTTAAGCAGGGGGCTGGACTAGAAGACCTCCAAGCTTCCTTCCAGCTCTATTCATTTCTATTTCTATTTCTATTCTAAACATTTAGAACAGATGCATTGAAATCAGTGGAAAAGTTAGTCATAACAAAGTTAAATGTAATCAATTTCAGCTAGTTTACTCCAGAGGTTTTAACCATGACAAATCTAGATTAATCCAGTGAAGGCAAAAATTGGTTGATTAGATTGCAAGGGCAGTTGAGATGAACTTTGTGCAGAACACTGAAGTATTATGTCTCATAGTAGCACAACACCATGCCACCCATAGTCTATGCACAATCAATTTAGTTTCTAAAAAGTCACTTTCAGAATATAAAATCCATTCAGGAGGCATTCAAATTTTTGGATGGCAACCGATAGACTAATTAGTCATGGGTATATAAGTGATCAATAATTTTTAACAGGGAAATGTCTTTCAATCAATAACTAAGCTGGCCATATCCCACTCCCTGGATTTTTTTCAGCCCTCCCTTCCTAGATCCTCCTGGACAATTACGAAGTATTTTGTAAGATGGTTTAAACTTGCAGATCTAAACATTCCAGAACTTACCTGGCTCTACTGTTGCAGCAAGGAGGGCATGGAGATATGAGCCAAACTGGGCTCGAATCCACTCATCCCCTCCTTCCCAGCCAGTGCCATCCAGGAAGACGTCGTCCCTGTTTTCAGTTACATGCTTCACTAAGAAATCTGCAAATCTCAGGTCAGCTGTTGTAGGATTTAAGACCTTCCTCAAGTCTGGGTCATGGATTTGGACAAGAGTTTCCTCAATCTGATTGAAAACAATTCAAAGTGAAAAAACTTTGGGGTAGAATGATGGTGGTTGAAACAAACTGTACTGATAAACATAGGCAAGTTATTTCCATCTTACCAAAAACTACACTGTAATTAATATCTAGTGCTATATTATTGGATACAAATACATACATGCATAATGTAATGTAAATGTTTACGTTGGCTTTTGAATTTAATAGTATATGCAATCATTTGTACCTACTTATTTTTTCCAATTTCTAAAAGTAAGCAAACTTTCTTTTTCATTTTGTATGGAAAAATTTCAGAATGCATCAGAAATTCATTATAGTCTGGGCAACCTGATTTTCTCCTGTGCTCACATCCAATTTTATCAAACCAAGAAGTGGAAAGCTGGTGGTAATGTAAAAGCTCTCCAAGAAATAGTAACTATCAAGAGGCTTAACTATTCAATGATTTACAAGGAGTTACGAAAGCTTACTTTAAGAAACAATACACAAGTTTGTAATGTGCCAACTAGCTCCTAATACAATCTTTTTTTTTTTTAGATCTGATTAAAAAGGTCCATTAGTTTAATTTTGGTATTTCAACAGTGACTAAATGAAGTCTTGAAAAGATTTTTTTAAACATGTTCACTATCTCTTTTTGATAAATTTATCTACAAAGAGAATCTTATGTACGCATGTGTGCATGCATGTACAAACACACTTAAACACACATAAGGAAGTGTATCATTTGTCTGCCATGTGATTATAAAAATGGTATCTTTCCAAAATCTCAAAATTATTTTTTATAAAAATCTTTTTAATTAGAACCTTATAATACATAATTTGTCTTAATTTGCTCCATGAGGTAATTACTATAAGAAATTATAAAGAAAAGGATACATACCTCTACAATAGCATCACTCAGATGTTTCTGCTGATGGAAGAGGATATTGGTGGCTCCTGCAACAAAACCGCGGATTGTTACATCAGAAAGAAGGTGGTGCTGTTGCAGCGCCATGTATGGCAAGCAAAGGTATCCCTAAAATAAAGAAAAATATTAATTATGGATGAAATTATAATTTAGAAAGACAGAAGGACTAATTTTAATGTACAATATAAAAGAAATGATTATAATTTACTGCATTGGCCATCAATTATTTACCACTCTGGAATTTTTGTTTAAAAAAAAACACACAATAGATGATTGTCCCAAAGATGCTTTTTCATGAGGCAACTGGACTTTCTCATTTTTCTTTGAAGACGTTACACTTCTTCAGCTCTGACTGGATGGTGGGGAATGGAAAGATTTATACTCCTGCAGACAGCTGGTCATTTGCATTCTTTTAGAGAGTTGTTAAAACTACCTGGAGGCTTATCTGTGTCTTCAGGGTCACCTGAGTTGCACAAATGGCTGTGGAGCCTTCTTGGAACTGTTGAAAGGACTGTGTTGTAGACTGGAGAGAGATGATGTCGGATCTTCCCCCTTTGTTGAGAGAGGGCTGTTCAATTTTGACATAGATGACCTCTTTGAACCCTCTTTCAAACCAGCGGTCCTCTCTATCCAAAATGTGGACTTTGCTATCTTCAAAAGAGTTGCCTTTGTCTTTTGAATGCAGATGGACTGCTGACTCTTGTTGTGTTGACTGAAGATCCTCCTGAGGTTTTCCGATATTTCTGCAACGTATGGAATGACAACATTGCTTCGTTTATTTTATGGAGGAGCTCCTGCTGGGTCCTTTTTGAGATTGGATGAAGGTCCACTTGGGATAGCCACAAGTTCTGAGGGCTTCCTTGATGTGTTTTAGTTAGTTTTCTTTCCCATCTTTGCTGGTTTCTTTATTGCTGGCATGGTAGGGCTGGCTGGGAAGCCTGACAGTTGATGAGTGAGACTAGAGGGAGGGAGTCCTTGGGATATATCAGAATGGGGAGCTGGGCTGAGCTTTCTTCATGGTCCACAACTCCCTTGGTTCCCCCTCTCCCCAACAAAGTGTCAAACAGTTCTGTATATTAGTTTAGGAAGAGGCGGCAGCAGAGGAGAATTCACTGGCTATCTTCTAAGGATCATGAGTGGAGGAAAAATGACACAAGTCTACATTATATGTGGAAAGAAGAATGAACTAATAGGTCATGGGTTGTCTAGTCTGAAATAAAAGAGAGGAGTTTCTTCTGTTTTGTTCCATGACTATGGAATATACTTCTCTAGGAGCTATGTTGGTCCCTATTCTCTCTAAATTTAAAACAGTAACCAAGATAGAATTTTTTAACATGAGTTTTCAGTTGTTAATTGTTTATATAGATTTAATATATTGTAGAAGGACTTACACATATTATTTTGTTTTTCATTTATTGATACCATGTTTCTCCAAAAATAAGACTGGGTCATATTTATTTTTGCTCTAAAAGACCCATTAGAACTTATTTTTGGGGAATGTCTTATTTTTGGGGGGCGGAGGTGCCCCATGCATCTGCAGTCTGGGCAGTGCGCACCTCCCCTGATCTGTGCAGCTTCAGTGGGTATCTGGCCAGTGGAGGCAGGCAGCCATGCGGAGCGTCCAGAGGGCCAGTGCCGCCATGAGATGAGGCAGGTAGCAGAGGGAGCTGTGCCATGCGCCCCCAGGCTGGGTGGTGAATGCCTCCACTGCCCTGTGTAACTTTGGTGGGTGTCTGGAAAGTGGAGGAGGTGGCCAAATAGCACATCTGGCAGGTCACTGCCGCTGCCCCAAGGTGAGGTGAGCTGGCGGGTGGTGGTGGAACTGCCTCCCTCTGCCTCCCAGACACCCGCAAAGCCACAGAGGGCAGGGGAGGTACGGGCCACCCGGCTTGCAGGGTGCATGGAGCAGCTTCAGCACTAGGTAGTTGGACTGGCTGCAGACCACTGTGTTGCACACGGTCAGGTTCTCATGCTGGGAGAGCGCTCGGTGGAGGCTGCTGGGCAGCAGCAGGGGCTTGGCAGCAGGCCGGGCAGGGTGGAAAGCGAAGCGGCAGCAGTGGCCTGTGGCAGAGCATCCACAGGTGAGGTAGAGGCCGAAGGCGGTCAGGGGCAGCCCCATGCCTGCCTCATACATCAGTCACAAGAGCTGCAGCGCCCACCAGGGCCAGGACCCGAAGAATGCCTGGTTCAGTTCGTAGCTCAGCACCTGCAGCAACAAGTTCGTAGCTCAGCACCTGCAGCACCTCAGCACCTGCAGCTACAGGCCGGCACTCAACAGCCTGAAGGTGGCGGTGGGTGAAGCGGCATGAGTATGTAGCCTTGCCGGCGGTCGCTGGCAAAAAAAACTCTGGCAGGCCGATGACGGGGGTGCTCTGGAAGTCGTAGATCTGGGCTGACTCCCCTTGTGCCAGGCAGGAGCAGCCCAGCATGGTGGCTGAGTGCAGCATGGCCAAGAGGACTAAGACTCCCCACTAGGCCAGCAGCAGCAGCAGGGACAGCTGCTTAGCGGCCAGCCCAGTGCCCACTGCGGCTGAGAAGTCTCCCAGCAGCAGCAGGGCCAGCAGGCAGAGTGGGCAGAGGCTGGGGTGCGGTGAGAGCTTGGCCCGTGGACATGCAAGAGGTCAGGCAGGACAGCAGCAATCACACAGCAGCCGCACAACCAGTGTGGGGAGCTGCTCTGGCCACCCACCATCGTGGGGCTTATTTTTGGGATAGGACTTATATTATGAGTAACCTAAAAATCATGCTAGGGCTTATTTTCTGGTTGGGTCTTATTTTTGGGGAAACATGGTAGTTAAGTAGCATACTAAAATTAAATAGAAATATATGACAACAGAACACATACCTACCCATATAAACAACTACATAAGCCTCAGCATACCTAACCACTGTGGCTACTGATACTTGAGAATCAGCAACATCTGAGGAGCCAGAAATTTGCTGTTTCCTTTCTGTTTGGCAGCAAACGTTTAATATATCTGCCACAGAAAAAATTGACAATGAAAACAAAGTAATATGGTTGAAAGCCCAATAATCATGTCCTTTAGAAATTAGTATTGGACTTAAGGACTAGATGTACAGAGATACTCATTTGCAATAAGAGTGCTACAAGAAGATGAAGCGAGGGCGAGCGAAGAAATGAACACACACTCCCCATGGGGAGGGCACCGTTGGAGGAAGAAGGCAGAGAGAGTACGCCCGCAAGTACGGTGACTAGAACGTACCCCGTGACAGCAGCTTGCCATCACCAGGACGCTACGTGCGCCGGCCCCGTTGTGGGGGCGGCGCGCGTCTCCAAGGACGAGGAATTGAGGAA